AATATATATATATATATATATATATGTAATATTTAAAAAAAAATTAAATGACTACAAGGCTTCAAAGATTTATGATAAATTAAAAGTATTAATTAAGAAAATAGACTAAAAATTATTAAATTAGATTCAAATAATGTTTTAATATAAACAAAAATTTTTAAATCTTGCATAAATCCTTCGGGTTGTCAAAACGACTCTTTGTCCGTAAACAGCTCATGTTCGGCTCGCTAAGCAAACGAGTCGAACACGAACACACTTTTTGAGCTCTAAATATAAACGAGTTGAACACGATCGCCCGTGTTCGACTCGTTTACGCCCCTAATCTTGGGTGGTATAAATATAAAAAAGTAAAATTTAGTTGCTCGATATGTAAATACATAGGAATTGGATGGGCTGCATAAAAATGCCCAAAGAAAAAATAGTGAGACGCAACGTAACATTAACATGGTTAATAATTGCTTAGCTAAATATAATTAAATCCAAAAATAATAATAAATTGACTGTCGTTATTGTCATTAAGGATAATCACTACATTATTTTAATAAAAAAATTAAAATATTAATAAAAACTGTTAAATCAACCACCAACCCATTACAAAAACTCTTAAGAAAATATCAAGCTCTCCTTCGGAGAAATGCCTGCAGTAACTTTCAAGTCTTATATAAAAATAAAAGTGCGTAAATACCACCCAATTTTCATGTATTTACATATCTAACACCTAAATTTTTGCTTTTTATATCTATACAACACACATCTTTGATGTCACATGAAAAATACCATTATTTTGATTTTTAATCATAAATAAATCAGATGGCACAATTGTAATAATTAAAATTAGATTTAAATAGTTAGATAAAACAATGAAGAGAAGCATGAAATGCATCTAATATTTTTATTATTTTTATTTTATTTTATTTTTTTTTCCCTCATTTACAGCTGCTTCGTGCAATAACAGTAGGAAAAATCCCACCTTTTAAGTTTCTCAGTTTTAACTACAATGAAGCAGTACATTTTCTCTTCTATTGCTTCAACTTCTTGACCTCCTCGCTTGGATAGATGTACATCTTTCTCACCATATCACAAAATTCCCTGCAAATTTGCAAAAGCCAGCTCAGGATTTTAAGAAAAAGGGAAGATTTTGCATATATACCACTGAAATCCCATTATATATTTACATATATAGCACTAAACTTCAATTTTTAGTAAAATTTAAAATGGTGGCTTTTTTTTTTATTAAATATAAAAATTTTGGGTTCTATAGATGTAGGAAATAAAAGTTAGGCGTTAGATATGTAAATACATAGGAATTGTGGCGGTATGTATGTAAATAGATTAAAAAAAATAGCTGCAAGTAATCAAAGTTATGAGTTTTACAGGAACCTACAGCCATGGATCATCGCCAACCAGCATTATATCGTCCTCATCATCAGTGAACACTACTTCCCATTTGTCCCTCTGAGACAGCTCTCCTTCAATCTCAAACATTTTCTCCAGCTCCAAAATCAGATCATCATATCCTCCCAGAGTCATCAGATCCACAGCTCTACCAACAGCAACACCATGCATGCGAACCTTCAATTGAAATCCAGTTCAAAAAGTCTGCAATGTGATGCACTTCGTGCGAATTTTGGCGAAATCATCAAAAGTTCAGAACTTTACCTTGATTCTGCTTCGAGTGGAACAGTTTTGCTTCCTCTGAATCTCTTTTGGAGACACCACTTCAGTTTTTCTCATAGTTTTTTGTTCAGAATGTTGATCTAATGACTCAGTTGCAGGAAAAATCAGAACTTTAGCTTCCTCCATGGTTTCACTCGCACTGATCTTCTCAGCAGGAGATGAAAAACCAGAGGGTTTCATTAAATCAATCCCAAAAAGGCGGTAGGTGCCCCGAATCTCAGGTTTATTATACTCATCCTTAGCTTTAGAAAGATTCAGTTCCTGCTCCTCAACCACGTAGCCAAGGATGGATTGCCTTGTGGGAGGAAAAGCTTTATTCTCTTGATTTAATTCCTGGAATAGTTTCAGAGGACTACTTGCTGAAGAAGACAAAGGCTTGGTATTCATTGAGGGAGAATTGTGCTTTAAGCCGCCATTAATTATTCCATTATGCTGAAAACTCATCCCAGAGTACCAAGAAGGGGATGAGGCTTCTGCAAAAAGTTTAAGATTTTAAGTTGAGATATATTTCAATCTGTTGAAAATTCATTGAATTTTACACTACCAAAAGTTTGAGAATCTAAGTGATCCATCAGGGATCTAGGCCTCTTATTCGTTGATATGGTAGGCATCGAAGGACTGTAAAGCTCGATCTCCCATGGAGAAACTCGATCGGGTCGATGAAAGTTTGTTTGCTCGTCCCAGCGAACCTGCCATCATAAAGATATAAGAGACATCCACAAAACTTCAAAAAAGAAATAATTCTAATAAAAAGAAGCAATTTTGTTAACCTTCAATTGTTTCCACTTGGAACCTTCCCACTGAGATGATAGATCTCCCATGCCAACTATAGTTCCAGTGTATCTACATTATTATCAATAGTTCATAAAGAAAATATGATAATATATTTCACAAAATGAAAGATAAGTAGAAAAATCATGCTGCATAAACAATTTACTTTTTCTCAGGAACATCATCAGTCTCAAATGTCATCTTGAATCTCATGCAAGGGGCAAATTCTTTTTTGACAGCTTCAAAATATTTATTTGCACTGATAATAAATTGGCTTGTCCTGAATCACCAAGACAATTAAAAAAAACTGTTATAATTAACAAAAAAGTGAAAAAAAAAACAAAAACAAAAATCAATGCTTTGCTCAAGAAACATCAAGAATGAAATCATTCAACCTTGGCTTATACAAGACAGTGAAGAAAGTTTGGACTTTCAAAGCATGAGAAGCTGTAGCAAGAACACCAATATGCATGCTATGACTCGAGATCACAGACGACGGAACCGAGCTCTTTTGTCGCGCGAGGTGCTTAACACCAACTCTCAATTCTCCATTTTTTCCTCTACAAAAAGTATTAATTTTCAAATTCAGAGTTCATCCAACAAGATCCATAGAGTAAATTCAATAATTCTTTCTATAAATAAACATAAAAATTATCACCTAAGGAAAACAAAAGCATCGCCAGCCACCAATCTCTTACAGGAGACAAAGGTACTCCATCCAGTGGTGAGCAAATGCCGGCGGGGTTGACCTGTAATTATAAATTTTAAGAAACAAGCAACAGAAACTTCCATTTTCTTTGAAAAAAAATATTTTTCTGCATATAAAGGCAGGATTTTTGCCTCAATTACCTCTATAAATGTGCTTGAATCGCCATTCAACACCATGGAGGTCCTTTTCAGACAGCTCCTGGGTTGGGGTTGGCTGAGACATATCCTGATTCAAAAGAAAACATGGTCAGGATGGTAATCAAAATATGTAAAAAAAGTTTTAACTTGTGGACTCGGGGCTATCTGGCAACGGATTTACGAGCAGATTTATGCAGGATTTAAGTGGAATCCTGCCGGAGGATCATTTTGGACAAAATAAATTCCCGAATGGCGTAAATTCGGATTCCATGAATTTTGGTTGTAAATCACGGATTTACTAAATCCCAAGTACCTGAGGATTTAACTTCGCGGATTAGAATTGAAAATGGTAGTAGGATTTAGTAAATCAGTTGCCGTAATAACTTAAATCTCATATGTTGCCAGACAGCGCCTAGATGGAGAGGAAAGAGAGAACAGAACCAACCAGTTGAGGAAGACAGTCATTAGCATGGCGGCGGAGAACTGAGAATCCTCCATGAGTGCTGGTATCGGAGGCAGTCAAGATCTTGCAGAATGAGTTGACTGTCGGCCTCTTTGACACAGGGGGACATGGGTCTGGTGTTTTAAGCTTGGTTTGCTGTCAAATTCAGATAAAACATCGTTAAAAATTCCAAAATTTTCACAGAAAAATTTAAGAAAAATCAAAACCAAGAGAATAAAAATTGGAACTTTGCTTACATCCGCCTCTGGAAATAAAGTGATTTGTGCGTAAACCTCATCAGTTTCAGCCTCTGCCTGTCGAGAATAAAAAGAGAGAAATTTCAATTCAAAAAAGTTTACAGACATTGAAAATCCAGAAACAGAAAGAATTGAAGAAAGATGATTTACTCTAAGCTCTATGTTTAAAACACGACAAAGAATCATGGAGGGAAGACTGAAAAGAGGAATTTTTCTGATCCAACTCCTGATTGGTCGACGCTTCTAACTAAACAACCAAATTGAAAAACACATAAAACCTCGTTAGAAATAAAAAATAAAATAAAAATAATATTCTCTAATCACCTGTTCCATGTGTCCTTGAGGGAAATAGTAAACCCTATCCCCAACGCGAGGTATCTCCAGGAGCGGCCCTGCGCACGCCCTCCATAACTCCTCATACAGTTCATCATCTCCACACATACTTCAATTACATACCACATAGTCATGAAACTCTGAAACATCGCAAACCAAAGCAGCCATTAGAGAAGCAAAAAGACCTTACCTTGCTTCGATTGATATCTCCACCAAAACAGATCCTTCTTGTTTCTATCTCCGTCTCTCTTTAAAAGCCGAATAAAAATCCATTCTTTCAGCTTCTGCACTTCGTCTTCTTCAATCGCAGAACTCCTTTCGCTTCATCTTCTTCTTCAAAACAGCCGGAAAAAAAATGCCTTCTTGTCTCCGTCGTACCGCTCCAGTTAGCTTTAAAATGTCCTATATTACACAAAGAAACCCAATCGCCTTCTCCCTCCCGTTGATTTGCTCCCCCTTTCGCAGCTAAAATGTGCCGTCTTCTATCCATCTCTCACATAATAATAAGTTTGGAAGATTTACATACAAACTACTCAATTCTTTTGTATTCACAGATCTAACGTGTAAACTTCAATTTTTACCCGGAAAGAAAAAGTGTTTCAAATTAAAATAGTTGTATTTTAGAATGTAATAAGAAAAGTTGGAAGGTATAAATGTAAAAAAGTGAATTTTAAATGCTGGATATGTAAATATATAAGAATTGGATGAGTATTTAGTGGAGGTGAAGTCAGCTTATAATCACTAGTAGCTATATGGTGCTAGCCATTGGTGTTGTCGATGTGTTGTTAAGCGGCTTGGCGGTGTGCCGGAATTATCGTTACTCTCCACGACGAGTGTCGTCAATGAAAAGACTGCGTTTCACTGCCCTGGCTGCCCCTTGCCTGCATTTGAAGGGCAGGCCCGTGAAAGAGCCGACCACCAGCGAGCTCAGGCTCAGGCTCAGCTCGTTAAAAAACACAAGCAAGCCCAAACTCAATTCTTGTTCGACTCGTTAAAAAATATCATTGTTCGTGTTCAACTTATTTATATTTCGAACATAAAAAATGCGTTTGTATTCAGCTTGTTTTCTTAGCGAGTCGAACACGAGCTTTTCGCGAACAAAGAGTCGTTTTGACAACCCTAATCGCGCAACAATAGGATGTTAATTGTTGGGGCAAGATTTGCATCTTAAGAGCGTAGCCTTTGATTTTCATTTCAAAATGAGTGGCAACGAAGGAAGTAGTTCAACTGAATGCAGAAGATGCTAAGAGGAAATTTTGTAGGGACGATAATCAGCACTCACAACGATCGATAGGCAGCAACCTTTCAGACCACATATCGACCTAACCAAGACTTGTCAGAAGAACGACATCCTTCATTGATCAAATAAACCCCCAACTTTATTATTTGTCAATAAGTTTGTAATTACCAAAAAGTCTCACTCCCTATTGTGAAAAAACAAAGATAATAAAAAGTGAAAATTGGAACGAGAAATTCACATAACAAAAAATACAGTGGAACACGCAGATTTACGTGGTTCGATAAATTACCTGCATCCATGGAGCTGCAGAGGATTTGATTAGCTTGAGGATTACACTGTCGACCATGTTGACTTACAAGAAAGCTCTCTCTCTCTCTCTCTTCTATCTACTCAAGAGCAATCAACAAAGAAACTTGAGAACAGTAGTTGTGCGATGCTTCGATAGTTTGGATGGGACGCAAGAGGAAGTTGTGAATGCCCAATTCCTCTTCTACCGGAATCTTAGGCCCCCTCCCCCCTTTTATTCATTCGTTCGGAAGGTCCTGTGCACAGGGGAGGTATGGGCAAAGCTTGGGAAACAAATTAAGATAGATAAACTAGAATCAATTATCAGATGATTTCCATGAGAAGAGAGCGTTTAAACAAAGCAGGTGGATCGGTCTTCACATACTCAATAAATCTTCCACTTTGAGTTTGAGACACTAACTGTATCATCCACTGGCTGCATCATTCTTTTTCTTTAAACATGATATCCTTCACCCCTTTAACTTAAAATTCATTGTCTTCAAGGTAGAAGATCAATTGAAGTTGCGCACAACTTCAGTTTCTTAAAAGTAACACCCTTAATCAACATATCAGGGTTAATATAGTCTTGTACCTCCAAGTTCTTTCCCTTGTTACTCGTGTTTATGCTTACAACTTCTACTACATTAGCAATATTCTGCCTCTGTTGAAAGCTTTTTTGAATAAGTCTAGCCTTATACCTCTTATTGTCATCATGCTCAGTCTTCACCAGGTACACCAATTTGTTGCGCAATGCTTTCTTCCCTGGTGGAAGTTCTGTCAGCTCTCGAGTCTGATTCTTTAGCAGTGAATCCATATACTCTTTCATAGCTAGCTTCCACTTGATTGAATTTTCATCTTGCAAGGTTTCCTCATACCTATATGATTCTCCGCCATCTGTCAACAAAGTGTAGTTCAAGATCGGTGAGTAACACTAAGGAGAATGTATATTCCTGACTGACTTATGAACTATAGTTGCAGGAGTGGACAACTCTGAAGCTGACCGCGAAACAGTAGGAATAAATGCCCCGGACTCACTCTCCTCATCACTTCCATCACTACCCTGCACTTTAACCTCTGGGAGATCATCAAACCTTAGCTTCCTACTGTAGACATCAAGGAATTTGGCATAGTAATGAGAGTCTCTCGAGATGTCATTGGAGAAGGTCCCCGCACATCTGTGTACATGATCTATTTTTCCTGCCTTTGACACTCTGTCACTTTTCAGGAAACTGAGTTTCGTCTGCTTCCCCATAATGCAACTCTAACACATGCTGAGATCAATTGACTTCAGCTCCAGTAGCTTACCTCTGGACTGAAGTTTTTTTATGCCCCTCTGACTCATATGATCAAGTCTGTAATGTCACAAATCTGTTGTGCTCTCTGCAGTTGTAATAACAACAATGTTGAGTAAACTTGTAGTCATATATAATATATCAGTTTTCTTACCCCGAGCCAATACTAATGCTCCTTTGGTAACATTTCAGATGTTATCTGAGAACACTACTGAATGACCACTCTCATTGAGCTGCCCAAGAGAAATGAGGTTTTTCTTAAACTCAAGTGTGTGTCTCACATTTTGCAAAGTTTATTTGCTATTGTTAGGTAGTGCAATATCAACGCCTCTCATCCACACCACGTCTAGAGCTTTTTCATCAGCCAGATATGCCTTCTCAAAGTCACATGCAACATAATTTTGTATTAATTCCCGGTGAGAAGATGTATGGAAAGATGTCACTGAATCTAGTATACAGTCATCAACAGAACAGTGAACTACCAACAACAGTGCATCATATACTTCTTCAGTTACAATATTAGCGCTATCATTCTGCATCCTCTTCGAATTTTTGCTGTTTCATTTTATGTGGTCAGCTTTATCACAATTCCAGCTGGTTGCTTGCTGATTAGACATTGAATTGCTCTTGCCTTCGTGCTTTGATTTTGATGTTCCTCTATTTGAGTTATTGTCTTATGATCTCCCTCTGAAATCAACATTCAAGAAATCAACATTCAATGTCAAACCATTCAATGTCAAACTCAAACCTAAGATTTCGCCATAATTTTTTCTGATCACATCTTTAACCAAAATTAAATCACGAATATCATCATATTTTAGTTTAGATTTACCAGCAGAATTACTAATCGCCATCAACATGGCTTCCCAGTTATTTGACAATAAATCCAACAATATAAGTGCATGTATCTCATTATTAAATTCAATTTTCATACACGACAATTGATTTGTGAAGGTATTGAAATCATTCAAATGCTGAGTTACAGACACACCTTTCACTATCTTTAAGTTCAATAAATTTTTCATCAAGTGCATTTTGTTGTTCGTCGATGACTTTTCATAGATACTTGATAAAACTTTCATGAGATCTACATTAGTCCTTTCATTGATGACGTTGTGGGCAACAAATCTTAACATGGTTAAACTAACAACCCCTTAACCTGTCGATCCAACATATTTCATTCCACTTCATCCATCTTCTCCGGTCATTTTCTCAATAACGGAAGATGAAGTTTCTTCCTATAGAGATAATATTCTATCTGCATCCTCCAGTAACAAAAATTTGTGTTATCAAATTTTTTGATCCAAGATGTCATCACTTCTTCTTCGGTCATCGCTTTCCTCTGATCTGAACCAAGGCTTTGATACCAATTGTTGTGGAAAAACGACGATAATAAAGCAAAAATTGGAAGAGAAATTCACAAAATAGAAAACACATAGGAACACAGATTAACATGGTTCGACAAATTACCTACATCCACGGAGTTGTAGAGAATTTTAGTAGCTTGAGGATTACACAGTCGACCACGTCAACTTACAAGAAATCTCTCTCTTCTCTTCTCTCTAATTCTCCTATCTCTCTCTACCTGAGAGCAACCAAATAATAAACTTGAGAGCTGTACCCATGCGATGCTCCGGTAGTTCGGACGAGACGCCATAGGAAGTTGCAATTCCCTAATTTCTCTTTTACAAGAATCGGAAGTTTAGGGACTTGCCTGTAGACCCTATGAACCACTTTGGCCACCAAAATCACAATGGGAGAGGGATCTATAAAAATTGATCTGTACCCTTGTTGACCTCACTTTTGGTTGAGGTCTAGAAAACTTCTTTAGTAGCCTAGGTCTAGCCATAGGACTTTCCTATTGACTAGTCTTAGAAAATTAGAAAAGGTACCCCCACCATTAGAAATTCAAAACTCTTCTTTTTACTCAACTTGAAATTCCACATATTGATCTTAACCTCTAGCATTTAGTAGATAAGATCATTATAAGAGAATTCAAGAAGAGTCCCTATAAGATTACTTGGCTTTAGGGTCGACCCTGGAACTAGGATACACCATATCTTCACAATATATTAATCCATGGTTCATTTAGAATGGATATCTATCCAATTCTATGTGAAATGCCTAAATTGGTCTTTTGCCCCTATGCACCTCCAACAAATTACCGAACTGCCCTTGGGACCTAAATTTGGCTAAAATTCCCAAATTTTGCCAAAATACCCAAAATTGA